GAGTATTATTCGGAATGCCCTTCAGGAAAACCCTGAATAAAGTATGGTACGAAAACAGTATGAAAAAATGCATATTTAAAAAAAATTTATGAAAAAAAAATCGAGGGGAACGAAGTTGAACGAAGAGACTTCTCATGACTATGTCTATGGACGTGAACAATATGACCATGCCCACATCCACTGAGCAGTAACAATTCAATTTTTTTTTCTTTCCACAAAGTCATACTTAATTTGTGAAGGGAAAAATTATAGTTTATGACATTTTGTATATGTCCAGTCTTTAGGGACTTCCTGTATTATTAGTTAACAGTTTAAATGATAGCTCTGGCCATTTAATATATAATTTTTATATATATGGTTTGATATACGTATTACACAATTAAATATTTTGTAATGTGGTCGTATAAATTTATATTTAAAATTGCATAACTATGCTTTAATAAGGAATTATGTATGTACAGGTAACCCCTTATAACATGGCACTTCTAAAGCACGGATTCACTCAAACACAGTTCGAGAATGGTACCATCCCAGTATAACACGGTGCTGTTATAGCACGGATTCACTCTGACACAGTTCGAGAATTAAGTAAAACCCTCGTACAACATGAAATGTAATAAATTTTTACATACGTAAATACTAATAGTTCACAAAAATTATTATTTTCGTGAACTATTAGTACATAAGTATGTAAATTTTCTTTTCTTGCCTTCTGTCCATACATATGGTCCTTCCTTAAACTTGTTTCAATGTTGCCAGATCTCAACGCTTCTACTTCTGATGTTGCAAGTTGTTTTTCCCTTATTGCATAAGTGCTTAGCACTATATAAGGAAATTTATAAAGATCATTCAACCAGAAGCAAGCAATCTAAAATTACATACTTTTTGCAAAAGGTATAGCTTGGATTTGAAGATAATGCAGAAAAATGCTCAGAGGATAAGGATAACTTGCCAAAAATAAAACACTCTCGGTTAATAGTGCTTTTAGTGATGACGAAGAAAACATTGTTTAATTTACACCTTTTAAAACCAAACCCGAGATAACTCGAGAATGTTCCATAGCGTTACATATACCTTGCTCGTTTGGGCCCTCCGAAAAAATTTTATTTTTGGGGGGATTTTTGGATGTTTTTTAAGTCTCCAAGTCTTTTCAAAAATTTTTTTCCCGTGCGAAAAAATTTTATTGCGATTTTAATCTACCTTTAATTGTTTTTAATGGGATTTTTTAAATCAAATTTCATTCATCGTTCTAAAGTTCTAGTGCACGGATTTTACTTCAGTAAAGATATTTAAAGCTAGTTTCTAATGACAAAAACGACCTCCAATAGTTTTTCAATCTTNATGCCACGGTTTTGTCACAAATGTCGCAAGTCCAAGGTTCGGTGGTGAAATGGGACGAGGCAACGATTATAAAACCAGTGTCTTCCCCCACTTTATCAGGGTTATAAGGAACACTTTATAAGGTGTTCTAATATATATGTTTACTTGCTGAGCACTTTTAATGTTATACAATATAATATTGCTTTCAGCAAACAATTTTAGTATTGATTTCAAGAAATATTTCATTTAAAATTCCGATCACATAATAACCTCGCATTTATCATAAAAATTGCATACCATATGAAAAGCCAATAGTCGCTGGCACTTATAACGCATTGTGATACAACTATCAACAGTAATAAAAAGATCTTGAAGGAGAGACCTGCTCCTGCATTCATATATTCTTTATACACTGATGTTCCTACTTTTTCATTTTCTTCATCATCATGTGGTATTTTCTTATTTTCATTTTCCTACAGAAAATTTTGTAAAAAATTATACAAATTATTTTTTGGATTATGCCTGAATTCATAACAATATTCGAATAAATTCGAATAATTTTCGAAATAATGAATTGTACGATTTAATTTTTAAATAAAATTGTAAGTTAGATGTGTTATTCTTAATTGAGAATATTCTTTTTCTTCTAGTTATGTAATTACATATTTTATTTGTTTCTTGTTAGATAAATTTGAAAGTATTATTGGTAATTACATACTGATGATAAAGATGTATACTTGATGCACTAACTTAAAATAAATAAATTCAATTTGTAAAGTTATAAATTCAGAAGCTGTAAACTTTTATTGAACTTATAAAAACTTTTTATTAAAAAATTTTTTATATAACGAAAAGTAATGAGTATTATTCGGAATGCCCTTCAGGAAAACCCTGAATAAAGTATGGTACGAAAACAGTATGAAAAAATGCATATTTAAAAAAAATTTATGAAAAAAAAATCGAGGGGAACGAAGTTGAACGAAGAGACTTCTCATGACTATGTCTATGGACGTGAACAATATGACCATGCCCACATCCACTGAGCAGTAACAATTCAATTTTTTTTTCTTTCCACAAAGTCATACTTAATTTGTGAAGGGAAAAATTATAGTTTATGACATTTCGTATATGTCCAGTCTTTAGGGACTTCCTGTATTTATTAGTTAACAGTTTAAATGATGGCTCTGGCCATTTAATGTATGATTTTAATATATATGGTTTGATATACGTATTACACAATTAAATATTTTATAATGTGGTAGTATAAACTTATATTTAAAATCGCATAACTATGCTTTAATAAGGAATGAAGTATGTACAGGTAACCCCTTATAACATGGCACTTCTATAGCACGGATTCACTCTGACACAGTTCGAGAATTAAGTAAAACCCTCGTACAACATAAAATGTAATAAATTTTTACATACGTAAGTACTAATAGTTCACAAAAATTATTATTTTCGTAAACTATTAGTACATAAGTATGTAAATTTTCTTTTCTCGCCTTCTGTCCATACAAATGGTCCTTCTCGAAACTTGTATCAATGTTGCCAGATCTCAACACTTCTACTTCTGATGTTGCAAGTTGTTTTTCCTTTATTGCATAAGTGCTTAGCACTATATAAGGAAATTTATAAAGATTTTTTAACCAGAAGCAAGCAATCTAAAATTACATAATTTTTGCAAAAGGTAAAGCATGGATCTGAAGATAATGCAGAAAAATGCTCAGAGGATAAGGATAACTTGCCAAAAAGAAAACGCTCTCGGTTAATAGTGCTTTTAGCGATGACGAAGAAAACATTGTTCAACTTACACCTTTTAAAACCGAACCCGAGATAACTCGAGCATGTACCACAGCGTTACATAAAACTTGGTCGTTACGGCCCTCCGAAAAAATTTTATTTTTGGAAGAATATTTGGATGTTTTTTAAGTCTCCAAATTTTTGAAAAATTTTTTTCCGCGCGAAAAAATTTTATGGCGATTTTAATCTACGTTTAATTGTTTTTAATGGGATTTTTTTTAATCAAATTTCATTCATCGTTCTAAAGTTGCAGTGCACGTATTTTACTTCGGTAAAGATATTTAAAGCTAGTTTCTGATGACAAAAACGACCTCCAATAGTTTTTTAGTTTTTTTAATTAATAGATATTAATATATATGCGTTTATTTAAGTCGGGGGGTCGGAANCAACTCAAAAAACCCCAAAATGGCAGCTCAAGAAGTAGATCACGCGTGTCCTGATCTTCTTATATAGACCTTGGAACAGTCGAAAGCGCGGCCATTTTGGAACCATACGTAACATTAACCCTTATTTCTTTTACTACGATTACTAAAATTGAAGTTTATAATTTAAGAATTAAATTATTGTAGTAGAAATTCATATAAAAGTGTTTATATTATTTATAATCGTACAATTTCAAAACTATTTTCTGTAATAATTTGTTTCTGACTTAACGAATATTTTGATATTATTGACGACAAAAGTTTAAAATCATTGATTTCCTTACCTGTCCATTATTTTTGTTTGAAGGAGTTGAATTGTTTGAACCACGTTTCATGAAAAATTTTGTCAACGTCCTGATGAGAATGTGCAGACAACTGAACGTGTGAAAGAAGACCACTTACACGTGCAACTATCTATGTTGTGATTGGATTATTTAAATTAACGAGCAGTGACACTAGTGAGACTTTATTAAACTAATTTATTCTCATTTTTTCGTTAGGGCATGAAATATTAAATTGTATCGTAAATGGTACTTGAAATATTATAATGTACTGAAAATGTACTAAAAATCTAAATGTACTTTCAATTTACTGGAAAGGGCAAAATGTACCAGAAACGTACAAATGTACTAGGAACGGCAACACTGAACCTAACCCTCCTTTTCGTACTAGTTCTTTGTTTCATATAGCACGGATTCGCATAACACGACTATTTTTTGGAACGTAACTACCGTGTTACACAGGAATTACCTGTATTCAAAATAAGAAATCGAAACTGCCACCTCTTATTTAAGTTACTCTGAAAAATTATTTATTCAAATAAGTATTTAATATATAAGTATTTCTTACCACATTAACACTGTTAATATCTTTAATATCATCAGACGTAGTTTCAGTGCTTTTAATTATTTCATCATCGTTGAAAAGTGCAGTCTCTAATTCTATCCTATTTTTGGTGATTTCTTTCTCTGGTAATATTTCTGTAAGCATTTCAAAACTTTCCATTTTATTGTAATTGCCAATAAACTCGCATGTTCCCTGAAATAAATTAATAATATATGCGAATATAATTGCTTCTATGTTTTAATACAGTATATATATATATAACATATACAGTATACAGTGTATATATATATATATATATATATGAGAATTCACATTTGAATCAAATTTAAATGAGAATCTACATTTGAAGTACAAAATAATGTATAAACCTCGGTGTTTGTACTTATTGTTTCCCCAGGGGACGTAGACTTCCCTGCCAGTATATATATATCGGCAGAGAAACCGACGACATATATATGTTAGACTCAAAGACCGTAATCGCTCGTTGAGCGAAGAAATGACCACAACGCATTGTGGTCGATTCAAAACGGCCAGGAAGCGAAATTCGTGTCGTGGCTTACATGATGTTTGACAGCTACGCGTTGTTGTGATTAAGAAAAGCCATAATGCGTTTTGAACATCAGCTGATGCAACCATAATGCAAAGGATAAGTTGTAACTTCTCAACAAGCGCATTGCAGACACTTAATGAGTTTATTGTGTTTATTTTTGACCTGTGCTGCTGTTTCTAAGGTAATTACCCTTAGAAACTTGTCTTGTAATAATAAATAACTCTGAAGCATTCTTGATTCAAATAAAAAAAGACTAATTTACTAATAACAGTTCCTGACAAAGTAATTATTTTCATTAAATTAGTTGTTATAAAACGTTGACAATCGAGCACACTGCAACAGATTTACACCAATAATTGCATGTTGTTGGAAAGTAACCAAGTAACCTAAACTAACCAGAACGCATAGTGGTCAAAAATCAGGAAAGCCAGGACACGAATTTTGCTATGTGGTCGTTTTGAATTAGCCACAACGCGCTTGGTCGGTTTTTTTTTTCGCTTTGTCGATTGGGACTTTGAGCCTATCATATACATGTATACACGTAAAAATGTATATAAACAAATATTTAGCTAATAACTTAAATAGTGCCAACGTATTTTTAAGAAATTTACAAGTGACATATAACCAATTACAAATATATTTGCATATGCATTCTTTTAAGTGCTGATAATATTCATATTTTTTAATCACTGTCATAAACATAAACATATCACTGTTTAATCTCCCCAATGTCTAAGAACATAGAACTCTCTATACAATAGTATTGACAGTTTGTCCTTTAAAACATACTTGTTCAAGTAGTTGTCCACATTTTCATCTTAAATCTAACAATGGAATAAAGCTCATTTTCCCAAAATCTGTCTATCCGAAGCAATTTTTTGTTGGCAGATAGCCTATATATTAAATAACATTTATTGCTAATCATCTCCATATTCATATGTTATTTTAACAATTCAAAAAAAAATTCATGAGTTCTGTTATTGTGAAACATAAAACGTTTTAACGTATTGTTAAAATGAAGATAATATCATTTAAATTTGAATCATAATTAACAAATAAAACTAGTTAATACAGTATATATATCTACCTTATTTAACACTAAAATTTTACTTGCAGGGTTTAAAAACTGTACTTGATGCGTAACTAAAATGCAAATCTTATGTTTCAAATGCTCCATTATACATCTGAAATAGAAGTAAAGTTAAAATATATTTAAATATCCCACAAATAACACTTAAATATTTACTTTTCGAATATATGTTTTGCCACAGGAACATCAACAGCACTAAGTGGGTCATCAAGAAGGAATATATCGGCATCGAGATATAGTGCTCTACAAAGTATAAAAATATAACATAAGGATAAAATAAATATACAAAAAAATGCAACAAATATTGTTCAAGCATAAGAATTAAACCTATATTAAATTTTACAGATTGTAATCTTTTTGCACAGTTAATTTTATACCAGTTTTCATTCCACTCCTATCTGAAGTTGTTTCATTATTAGAAACTAGCAGATAAGCCCGGCGTTGCTCGGGCAAAAGTAACGATAACTAAGATAAAGATTATTATGTTACAGTCAACCTTACCCGTTTTCACAGAATGCAAGAATTGGGTCCCCTTGTTTCCAGACTACTGTAGAACCCCTCTAGTCCGCCCTCGGCTAGTCCGTCACTCCGGTTTCCCGCAAAAACGAAAAAAACTGCATCTGCGTCTTGCATGTCGCTTTCTCTTAACAATCCCATTGTTACGTAACAATTCCATTGTTGACACTTCCATTGTTACTTAAAACTTTTATTGTTACTTAAAACTTCCATTGTTACTTAACACTTCCATTGTTACTTAACACTTCCATTGTTGATGGAAGTGTTAAGCCTTAATCCTGTCCCTCTCCCCCGTGGGAAGGAATTTCGAAAAATTCCTTCTTAGTGTGCGTTTTCGTGACGTACCCTATCTGTGTACCAAATTTCAACTTTCAACTCCTAACCGTTTCGGCTCTGCGCTGATTATTATTATTATTATTATTATCAACCCGTCTCGATTATATATTAGATAAGTGTTGCAAAATTACGAAGATTTATTGTTTCTCGAGAGAAAAAACAAACCTAATAATAATTGTACCAAATATACAGAGTGTATCAGAATGACGTTTAAAAATTTGGGGGTTGTAGAGGATGTAGGATGAAATTTTGAACGTTTTGATTGAAATTTCATGTATTATTTTTGCCGCGAAAACATTTTATGACAATTTATTAATTAGGTAATTAATCGCGCTATTGTTTTTATGAAAGCTTTTTAATGAAATTAATTAAATCGTTCTAAATTTCACTGATTTCACTTCTGTAAATTTTTATAAAACACTATTGGATGTTTTTGATGATATCAGCTAGTTTTTTTTTCTTTTTGTTCAGTAGAATTTTTCCCCATACCTTTTTTTCTGTCCCTTGTAATTTGATAGCATTAAAATCCACAATATTGTGTTACATTTGCACAGATGCGATAAGTTAGCTCTCCTCCTCCTTTAGACTATATTTCCCTGAAGCGTACATCAGAACTACCCGGGAAATTGGACTCCAGCTGTTTTGAAGGTCAATAAGTTTGTAAACAATGTAGACTAAACAAACACTAACAATCTAAATCTAAAGACTAACAATCCTTACAGCTATATTTCTCAAATAAAAGCATTTATTTTAAATTAGTTTTATTATTTTATATACTTTATTTGTAAAAATACTTTTTGGAGGGGTTTTTATATCGCAGGAATTATTTCCCGAAAATTTTTTTGGATGTCAGATTCGCATTTAAGCAGAAAGAATTATTTTATATAAAAAATAAATTTTTTGTGGATTTCTTAGTTGAATTTGAATCAAAAGAAAGGTATCAAAGCAGTTAAAACATATTTTACCTTGCTAGATTAATTCTTGCCTTTTGCCCACCGCTCATTATCACTCCCCTCTCTCCCACAATAGTCAGATCACCTTTCGGAAATAAGCTTATATCCTGAAATTAAAAAAATAAATAAATATTAACGGAACGGTGACAGAGTGCATATGGTTCAAATTGCTTTGTTTCTCCGTTCTGTAGCCTATAAATTATGTGTTTATCTATGCACTACAATTCAAATAAAATCTGAAATTTCATTTAAAAGTTATTTATTTTCAACGGAAAAACTACTATATATCGTAACTGATCCAATAATATACGATATTGGATACATGTGTAAAATTACATCTTCCAGCCAGTTTCACAGTAGAACCTAAAAGTATTAAAATCAGTTGAAAGTTTTTGCTTACTTTGAGTATATTCAACGAAAGTAGAAATATCACAAATTGATTTTTTTAAATTGACATGTATTAGAGTATGTAAAAAGTGTCCTAATATTTTTACTGTCAAAAATGGTTGAGATTTTAGATTTGATTACAGATTTCGTCAACCGGAATATAAAATGTTTCTTTTACATCTCAGATATCTAGTGTGATTAGTTTGGCAATGGGAAAGAGAAATGCGATTTCGCACTAAGTTCAATATTTAAAAATTTAAAAATAGATAAGTAATGTGACCCATGACATAAAATATAAATGTTGGTTAAAATGATGAATATTTTATGTTGTACAGCAGATAGTGCCAACTGAGCTACCTGTCAATCTCAAGCAGAAAATTTGCCAATTATTTTCTATGAATGACTAATTTCCTATATACTGCATTTATTAGTTTTCTTTAGTCTTAATTATCCCATTTATTTACAATCTGCCTTTCATTGTGCAGTAAAATATTCCAGTGTTCATCTGTTTAAATACTAACACAGGGAAAAGATATTATTAGACTATAGCTTAAAAATGAAACTGCATAACTTCGTTTCACACGTATGGACACACCGAAATCTTAATAAGCGATAACTGTAAATAGAAACCAAAGCATTTGTTTAATGATACTTATAAATAGTGTGTAATGTATCATATATATTACAAACTGCACAAAGGATAGTGAAAGTAAAACTGATATAAATTTTGTCTAATCTCTGTAAAATACAAGAGTTTGATTAGTAAACATAAAATACACAAACAGTGTTATTTCTATTCTGGAAATAAATGATTTGTTCCTTTCCATCAGTTAAGATAAGTTAAACTAATCATTAACATAATTTATATCATTGATTAGTTCTTTAAAAATATGTTCATTAATTAAAACAGTAAAATAACAGTTAAATAAAAAAAGTCAGATTGATTCCTTTCATGTTAATGTGTATTGTTATTTCAGTTAAAATTCAAAATTACTGATTATCTATATACATAATCGAGATGGGTTGATAATAATAATAAAAAGTGCAAAGACCAAGTGTTGAAGTTAAAATTTGGTACACAGTTAGGTAACGTCATAATAACGTACAATAGGAACGGATTTTTCGCAATTCCCCCCACGGGGAAGAGAGAGAGGATAAAGGCTTACCATAAAGAACTCGGGTTCTATTGTACTATTTTAGATGCGTTTTTTGCGTTTTTGACTGCGTTTTAGTAGACTATCACATTTAGTAGGGTACCAACTGGGAATGAAATAAGTGTATTCCTTACTAAAGGGAGTGTTAACAATGGAAGTGTTAAGAGTGGGAGTGTTAACAATGGAAGTGTTAAGAGAAAGCGGCATGCAAAATTTACAGGCGCAGATGCGGTTTTTCGCGTTTTGTGGGAAATCGAACATATTGTTGGCCCATCTAAAATTTCTCTTATCAGTCTGAAATCACGGGGGACCTAATTCTTGCATTCTGTGAAAATGGGTAAGATTAGCTAAAATGTAATTATCTTAATCATCGCTATCGTTACTCTTTGCCCGAGCAACGTCAGGTTTATCTGCTAGTTATTAAATATATGTTGCACACCTAATATTACAATATAATCATAATTACGATTGTTATTACACTATGATAATACTTTGTACTTATAACGATGCTTTTACAAAAATAAAATATTTTTTTATAATTTAATAAATTAACTAATAAATCTTATATTTATATTACTATTTTAACAGCTTAACTAATACAAGTAATTGTTATATTAATATAAAAAATATAATATAAATAAATATAAGTGAATGCTGAGCTCATAAAAATTAATTTTTCGTTACTTAATTCGTAGTTGCTATCAGACAACTTTTTGACTTCGACAAACCTAAGTACCAAAATTGTTAATAATAAAAAGATAACAACAGGTTATTACCTTTTCTAGAGCAGTTATATACAAGACATTCCTGTATTTTTCTTCTTTGAATTCTTCTCCGAACAAGATATTTTCTCTGACAGTTTCGTTGAATACCCAAGCTTCTTGAGAAGCATAAGCTATTTTTCCTTTTACTATCACTTTACCAGACGTAACAGGAATCTCTCCCAAAACGGACATTAATAAAGATGTCTAATAAGATTAATAAATCGATTGATTATTTGATATGAAAATCTTTGTATAAATAATGTAAGTGCGAGGTGTGGCTATAAAATAACTAGACTGAAGCTGGAACTTTAAATCTTGAGTAGTATACTCACTTTAGTTGTGTTTCCTGTCGATGTATGAAACTTCTGCTTTCACACAGCGCTTCATTCGAAACTTTCACTGGTCATAACAGTGATGCATATAATCATCTGTAAGTCTACACAGAAGCTTCGTCATTTTTCTCTTGGCAGCAAAATCAAAATGGTGTCCCTTCATAGCAGATTTTACTTTAGGTTAAAAGTAGGAGTCATGTGCATCTAGGTCAGACAAGTATGGTGGATGTTCGAGTGATGTGACTTCTTTCTTGGCCAATAAATGCTTCACTGACAGAGCAGAATCGGTTTGTGCTTTGTCCTGATGGAGCATAAAACCATTCTACCACAAGTATCGCTATTTTCTATTGCATTTCCTGCAAGGTTTTTAGATGTTCTTTTCAGTAATATTGGTTCAAAATTTGTTTCACTTTTTGCACGTTTCTCTCGGTTTTTGTTGTGCTGGACAATTCAGAATGGTCATTGGCTTTCACTTTCTTTCGCTCTTCAAAAAATCGTCTGTGCCATTCGAACGCATGTGCCCAAGAAAGACATTTATTTATGTTTAGATCACATAACAGGTGCTAAGATTCAGTAGCAGTTTTTTCAATTTCACGAAAAATTTCAGGGTTGATACTGCTTCTCTTTCAAGCTGGCCATTTTTTCGACGTGCGCTAACACGTCCACTCTCAGCAGGCACACACAGCAATTTATAGCGGTAGCAATTTGAGACTTGCTGTTCTTCTTCTAACTTCTTCAAGATCGTTTACTCGCCTACTCACTTCGGTCGACCTGCAACTATTGCGTGCAGGCGATAACAGTTTTTCGTTATTTTTTAGCCACACCATGTACTTTACATAAGCGTTTAAAAGGTTTTTACATTTTAATATTATTATACATTCCTATTGTTAACTGTTTTTATTGTACATTGCATGTTTACAGATACAAAATATACTATTAATTCATAGCTCAAACCTCATATTCAGCTTTTTCTTCTTAATTTTCTTAATGAATATATATAAAGAAAAAGCTGAATGTGAGGTTTTAGCTATGCGTTGATAGTATATTTTGTATCACTGATCTAGTAAACATGCAATGTAGAATAAAAGCAGTTATTAAGAAACTTTTGAAAGAGTGTTTAAGAATTTAATCATAATTTAATTTAAATTATACATGTGTGCTTGAGTTGTGTCATAAAAACTGTTACTTATGTATACAGAAGAAAAGTAAAACAGGTAGAGTTAGATATTTAACTGTTTTTAATAATGTAAGAATATGAAATAAAAATTATTTATAAGGTCTGTCTACTGAAATTTACATTTCACAGCGAATACTATTTATTTTACAACTTCTGCATTGATACGAGCGATTTTCTGGTTTAATAAAAACAACATGAAAGAATTGTTATCATCATAATTTATTGAAATATATATAATAACCATAATATGAATTTTTAAAATAATTCTGTATCAAAACAAAAAACAAAGAAATAGCAACTTGTTGAGTTACTGTTTTTGCCTAAAAAACATGTTTAAATTAAATGTGTTACGTGAAAAAATTTTTCAAAATGTAATTTTAAATGCACCTGTATACATCTGTATTATATATATAATTTCACTTGTAAGAAATCAACTATTTGTTAGTGAAGCTATTTGATATCAGCTATTTTTTTTTTGGTCATCAGTGAAATGCCAAGTCTTAGTTACATGAAGTTCGAAAAGAAAAAAATAGTTACAAAATTCTTTGTATTATTTTTAGCTGTAATAATCTGTCATAAAATCTGCTTTTTTTATTGAAGAAAAGACAGATTTTGTGACAAATTATTACAGCCAAAAAATAATACAAAGAATTCTGTCAGTATTTTTTTTTCCTCTTTGAATATTACTTAACTAATACCTAGCGTTTTCGCTGATGACCAAAGAAAATTTCTGTTCTTTTTACGTGTTAAATTCAAATCAAAATAATGAAAAGCTAAAATGATTTAAACAAGGTAATTAAGTATAAAAATTTTTAAATTAATTTGATTACAAATAGATAAATTGTTGAATTTACTGGTTATAGCTGTATTTATTCGATTGTGATGGTTGTCTCTTTAATCCTTTTGGTAGACTATCTTAGGTATCTTAGATAGTCTACCAAAAGGATTAAAGAGACAACCATCACAATCAGATAAATTGTTATATTTTTATACTATTTTATTGATAAATGCCAACACTTTATATTCACAAAGCATATAATTAAATTAAAAAATATAACTGAAAAACAACATATTTACCTTTCCTGATCCAACAGGACCTATAACAGTTAATAATTCTCCAGGCTGTACATTTAAAGATATTTTACTCAATGTGGGTTGGGACTCCTTTTAAAAGAATAAAGTAAATAAATTATAAGCAAATAATCTTTATCTATAAGAATTAGAAATATTATATCATAGATTAATTTATAATAATATGAATATTATATTAGTAAAAAAACATATATTGAAGAAATATAAATTATAACAGTAATTAGTTCATAATGCTTTAATATGAATTAACTGTACACTATATCATGAGAATTGAGTGTACTGTAAAAGTTTTAGAATCTGGTCTGTCTCTAAAACGTACTGAATAATCTAGCCTTGTTTGATAAAGATTTTGAGTGCCTAGTCTCATTATAGGACACAAGCAACACAAACTTTATAGGAATATCTCATCTTACTATTTCGATCACTGAGCCATTACTAAACCAATTTGTAAAGCATGATTCTCATCACAATTTTATTGCCTTTTAGTATTCATACAAAAATGATATATTTGTAAACAATATTAGTCGTAAAATTGATCTTTCACGGTTTGGATTGGAATTTGGCATCATATTTAAGTTCGTGCTTACTTTTTTTACATTCAAATTTAGTTTCAAATTACCTCTGGAAACGGGTAAGAAATTGGGTCTGCAGTTTCCAATTAAGTCTTATTCAAAATTAGTAAAGAAATTCAGAAAGACACTTTTTCACAATTGCTGTTTTTGAGAATTTTAAAAGTTTGTAACTGTTACCTTTCTTAAATATACAATCTTTGTACCTTACAGATATATTTTTATTACTATAAGTTTATACTTATTAAACAGTGCTAAACTCTATGAAAAGAAGTTATTTTTTCAGAATTTTCAAAATAGTAGTTATGTCTTACATTTTTCCATGTAGCTGTAACATTATTCATCCATATTCCATATTTGTTTAAATTTCCTACTTCTTCCACAATTTCGATATCATTGGTGTCTTTTTCATGAAGGAGAAGAAATTCCTAAACAGAAATTTGATACATCTTATAAGGAGTATTATGCTCATTTCCCCACCTATTTTAATATTTCAGTATAGTCAGTGTTTTTTACATAGGGAGTAGCTGGTGTGATTCAGTCATCCCTAGTTAAAAATGATGTAAAATGGAAACAATACATAATGTTTCTGCCTACTTAGTAAATACCTACTTTATTATAAGCAGTAGTGATTCGATACACTTTGGAATATATTTTTCAATTTGTATAGGAATTTAATGTAAAGCTTTCATACAGTATATATTATAAAAATATAAAGCTCTGATACAGTTTGAATTATAAAAATATAAAGCTCTGATACAGTTTAAATTATATTTTATTTCAATTCAAAAATGAAATAATTTTTCGAAAATTGTGCTTTCTACAGTTAGTGCCAGGAGTTAACTAGTATAAACCTCGTATGTGTTTTTGTTTCTCATAAAGGATAAACATGCGTTAAATTTTGAATGATTTTAATTCAAGTATTCATATATTTTGTAAGAATTTTTATTTTCATGTTTTTCGAATTTATTTAATTAATGTTAAAACCATTTTTGTATGTATAATAATAAACATTGTATTAGCGAAAGAAAAAGATTTTTATCATTAACTCATTTAGTACCAAACGTTAAATTCCAGATCGACATCCTAGAATAGCTGGAGCACCATCTGTGCAAACACCACAAGCCTTTTTCGAAGAGATCTTATGCTCTTTCAGAAATGAACCAACTGTATCAAATACATCATGTGCAGTAGTTGTCGTTTCAAGAGGTTTGAGAAAAGAAACTCATCTTTAAAGTCGCCATCTTTACCATACCTCGCATAAACCAGTAACTGCGAACAGTTTGCAACATCTGTAGATTCATCAAGCTGGATATTAAATATTAGAAATAGAGCAGATTTAATTTCCTGAATTCCCTGATCTAGAATATCAACAGACATTTCATCTATTCTTCCTCAAATAGTGTCTTTAGATAAACAAATTGCAAACAATTTCGTAACAAATATCATACCTTGAACAATTTCTTTCGCTACTGGCAATAATAAATCCTCAGCAATGGTGTCAGGTTTCATAGATTTGTCAATTCTGAGTGCAACCAAATATGAAGCTTCAACACCTGCTACGTTTTGTTGGGTACATGACATGAGTGTCAAGTCTTGCTTTCTTGATTCCACCAGCTTTGCTTCTAAAGTATTTTGTATCCTTGCCGGCAAAGCTGGGATGCTTGCTATCAAAATGGCGTTTTAGTGTGTTCAGCTTCATAGATTCGACTGATAAAACTTCACAACAAATAACAAATTGCAGTTTTTCAATTCTTGCTGTAAATATTGAGGTAAAATCATATCCTAAAAAACCCTCATTATATTTTTTTTTCTTAACGTTCTTCTCTACGCAATCATGGATTGGTTTGCTAATGAAAATAATATATGACAATAGCTTTAATAATACAAAAGATGATACGTGACATAGTTCAGTCAATACATTTCATTAAAGTTTTCAATGATTTACCATTCTATGAATTGTTTTTCTTACATACCTTTACTATCACTAGGGTGCAGTAGAGTATATACATCAACCATAGCTGAATATAAAAAGATCAATCAGCATCCAGATTAAATTCCTATGGTACAGATATTTTTTGCAATAGTTGATCATTTTACATTACATTACATAATTTTACATTGACCGAGTAATTATAATTCATAAAGTGTCGTTTTTACCTGCAATACTATTGCTTTCAACACAGTAACTGCTTTTAACAGAGTAGCTGCTCTCTACACATGTGTGACTGGTCTGCATAAGTACATCATGGCGCCAACCCTGTCATAGACACCTGTATTTGTACAGGGTGTAAGTCAAAGGGCTGGCAGGATGATCTCATTACACTGGGAACTAGTATGTTGACGTATCTGCATATGGACAGGTGTTTACGGTGGTCAAGGCGACCCCTGAGAAAGTTTCGTTTGACCCCCAAAAAAGTTGCGATCCATAGGTTGAGAACCGCTAATATAAAAGGTAATCTAAAAGTTTAAAATGATACTTTCTTTGTAGAAACTTTGCAGGAGACATAAAATTAGATGAAGTATCGCTGAAACATAAAAACGTGTCTTACTTCCAAACAAAAAAAGCGATTCAGACGTTCTTTCATCCCATAATACCTTTTGAGGTTAACATTTAGTTTCCAAAATAAGAGCTAGATGAAAGCACCGTTAACCACGAATAAACAGACATCTCCTTGTTACCCCACGGCTCCATTTTGCACTACCTTCTCCTATAATATTTTTTAATTAAATTTCCACTATGCAGACTTACCTAAGAAAAAATGTGCTATTTGCGTAAAAATTTTATAATCAGCCTATAAATATTTTTTTTTACTTTTTTATATTTTTCAGTACGTTGGAAAAGTTGGAAGTGGCACGTATAATTTTTCAGATAGTGGCATTCTTCCCGAAAAAGTTGACCATTCCTGTTCTAAAATATCAAAAACTAAATCAGAAATATATTGCCAATAACTCACATCGTTTATTAGTTTATATACTTCACGATATTTCTAAAGTTTTTGATGATATGATGGAAAAATTAAATAAATTTAAAGAGGAAGAAAATAAAATTAAAATACACAAAACATATACATACTATACTTGAGTTACAATAATCCAAACTTAAAATCAATGTAAGAACAGGTTTAAGAACAAAGAACACACACGGAGTTCACACAAGTTAGCTCATGGCATGGACTGTAAAAGGCACAATTTTCGAAAAATTATTTAATTTTTTAAATAAAATATAATATAATTTAAACTGTATCAGAGCTTTATATTTTTATAATTCAAACTGTACACAAGCTTTACATTAAATTCTACACAATTTAAAAATATACTTGAAATCAATGTTTCCTCTAAATTTTTTTTGTAGATGAGCGGAACATATACTTTGAGCAAAAAAAATTTTTGCTGAGCAGATTCTGAGCAAAAAATTTTTCTGAGCATGTACATATAAAATCTTATTTTTCCTATAAAAATTAACATAATTAATTATGAACTAGAGATTAAAATTCATTTTAAAATATACTTATATACGAAATATTATATTTTGTCAATAATTTAACGTATTTAATCGAAATATACTCAGCAATAATCATGTTGCAGACAGAGTGAAAAATAAGTAAACAACAATTCAAATCGGTGTGCCTGCTTGCCTGCGCGGCACATAAATTCTCGTGCGCGACAACAATTTGAACAGTGCGCGGCTGCGCAGCCGCGCAGCTTAGAGGGAACATTGCTTGAAAGTTTATTGAATCACCACTACTACTGTGACATTATGCAACTTTGTCATATTGTGATAGGATTATGGCAGAGAAAGGGGGAAAAATGCGATCTTTGCAGTTGTTAGGTATAGAACAGGCAACCCTTGCATTTGATGGTTGCTGACAGGCAAATGTCACAATTGCCACCAAAAAAATGTGATTTCTGTACCAGCCATGGGATATACGATCCTTGCAGTTGTCAACTTGAGAGGTGATTCACGAACAAAATAATTGCCATGAATTACTTTGTTCTTGTCTTTTGTTCGTTTTTCGCGCCTATTTCTCGGTAGGCGATCTAAATCGCACTAGAGAGCACAGATATCGTCACTTCAATACTTTTGCTTTTTAAATGCTCTGCCTCAAATACGTGTATGGATAAACATAAAATTTAAAAAATTCACATATTTAATAACGATGCATTATTTTACATTGCTTGTGCAGTGAGAGCATTTATAATTAAAGTAATTTAGACCGCTGTCTTATTGCCTATAAACTGGAAAATTTTCTTTCTGATCAATGGGATTTGGCATCATACAGTTTGCCTCTCTTTACCCATATAATATTTTCCATTTGCTCTTTAGTTTTCTTTCAGTTTACTTTGAGTATAGTGTTCTTTGTCTATGGCCAATATCATCTATATTTGTGAAAATGTGATGGACTGAAATATAAATTTGAATTCAATGCTTGTTATCTCTGCCACATCTTTCACCGTCAGTACTTATCTCTACCTAAAGATGACAGATTCTCTGTTGAACGTTCAATAGAAAATAAAACTTCTTTTTCTATATGTAAAAAACAAATTCAGTAAATATGTAATACAAAACTTGTACAGTAGGCTAATAACTGCAATAAGGCTGATCTCATAAAAACTGGTCAATGTCAACAGAATATGCAAATGGAAACCTTAGTATTTAAACATTTGTCAACTCTCTTATTAGAGCAATTGAAGGAAACGGTATAAATAATTGCATTATCATTTAATACAGTACCATTTTCGCGAAAGTTTATGATATTCAACAGCATATATTAGTGTAATACCCCTAGATAATATTTTTAATAAAATTATAAACCTGGATGCCAATAGGACTAAGAAATTAAAGCTAGAAAGCAAAAAAATTAGCTCCAGCTGTCAAAAACCTGAGAAAGTTTACAATGCAACCTTATCGCTAATCATCTACTCATATTTATCATGACCCTAAAGAAATTGTGACGTGAGCAATAAAAGCCTTGTATGTTCCCATGATACAAAAAACAAAAAGTAGGTATAATAAAATTATAAAAAAGTAATCATAAGGTATATAAATAAAATATTAATATTTTCCAACACGTTCTGTATTATTATTGCCATTATAAACTTTAAAGACNTTGTGACGTGAGCAATAAAAGCCTTGTATGTTCCCATGATACAAAAAACAAAAAGTAGGTATAATAAAATTATAAAAAAGTAATCATAAGGTATATAAATAAAATATTAATATTTTCCAACACGTTCTGTATTATTATTGCCATTATAAACTTTAAAGACTATATTTCTGAATCTGTTCATTACCTGAAGTCTCTTCAACGAAACCAAAATTTCTGCAGCAATATTTAGTGCATTTGAAAACAGACTAACAGTGCTAACGAAAATGTACATTGAAACAGTCATAGTGATGAATACAATTTGGGCATTTAATTGTCCTCCATTTAAGAAAAAAGCAAGATATGTGAGGGAAGTAAATAACTTCGATATAGGATATGAAAATATATTCGATACTCCCCTTGTATATAAAAACATTCGAACTTTTTTCATTTCTTTCCTGAAAATATAAACAGTTTGTTATAACAAATTATACAACTTTTAAAGTAATTGTAAAAAAAACAAAAATGGCAGAAATACAGTAAAATCTGTGTATATCAGAATTACACCAAATCATTTTCTATTAAACAGGTGAGTTTCCATCTTGAATTGCTTTTATTTTACATAAAGAAACGACTTGTTTTATTCAATTTTTTTTGTTTATACAGGTATTACTGTATTTAATACCACTTACTCTCTGATTTTCTCAACTAATGCGGCATATGGCAATTCCCAGGTGTACATTTTAATTAATCTCATATCAGCAATCATCTCATTCAATAGGTTCAATCTTTTGTCGCCTAATATGGCTGCTTGTAATCTATGATTATGGAATTAAAATTTAAATATAAACATACACTCTTGAAAACATATGTAAAATTATTTACTAAACATTTATCGAGTTATTTTAAGCTGAGCTTTAATTTTATGAATATTTTATAATCTCAACCAAAACTAAATTTATTTATAGACATGAAAAAAGCTTTATAAGGGTTTTATGATTGCAAACGGATAAGCGATATTGTGTTTCTAGTCATTATTACAACACACATGGCAGAAATATATATATGAAAATTCAACAAAACTTTTAAAACATTAGTTAGTCATGTTTTCAACAGTCAGATTTTTATAAATATTTGAACAAATTTGCAAAAATTAATATTTTTTTAACATTCTAAGCAAGTTGATAATCTTCAATATTATCTAACTATCATGAATTCCATTCGATATATGAAATTATATACTCGTTAAATATCTGTATTACATTTTTATTAATGATTACTAATTAGCGCATTATTTCTTTATGTAATTTATAGACTTATCACAATTAAATAATTGTAATAAGAAATACCTCAATTTTGAATATAGTTTACTCAAAGCAAATTGCGTAGGAATGTAGAGAAATATAGCCAGGAATCCTGCTAATATAGTCCATCCATAGTATTGCCACAACATGGCAATAGAAACAATGATGAAGAATGGATTTGTAAATAAATATGGAATGCAGTGAATACCCTGTAATAAATAAGAACGTTTCTTATATACAAAACATCTATTATCTCGATTACAAGTAATATAAATCTCACTATTATTATTTTAGAACATTGTAAAGTATATAATAAACATGTTAAGATTTCAATAGCTATTCTTTTTTCTCTTTAGAAGATTTCCTTAATCAGACACCTACAGGACCATACATTGCTAAATTTTGGACATTATCAGTTTATCAGAATTTTTATTTTTAATATGTTCTACAATTTGAAGGATGAAAACTTGATAAAGATGATATTACTAATTGAGAAAATGAAGAGTATTGTATTGACCATAGATAAACAATTTGCAATAAAGTATCCTGGAATAAATTGATGAGGAACAGGATATCATAAATGCAAAAAAAACAAAGATTTATTAGAATACCAATCACTTAATTTCTGAAAATTTCCAGAACCATGTAGTACGGATGTAATGCTCGTAAAGAAGTCACGTGAAAACGAGACATTGACAAGAAACTTTATTAAACAAAATAAAACCCGTGATGTTATTCGAAATAATTGCACTGAGTAAATGACTCGAACTTTCAATTGTGCGGTATTACATTTTAAATTTCTTTCACTCTATACAAATATTTGTCTCCTATTTGTTTTTAAGTACATGTGCACCACATACAATAAATATGTAACACTAAATTTCAAAAGAATTAAATCGACACGTTTCAGCTCGCACTAATTGGGGAATATTTGTGTGAAAAGAATGGTCAAATTTGCAAGAGTTTACTTTTCTTTTTACAATTTAATCTTGACAATTAAATTGATTACATACGAATTATAAAAATATATATCAGAATAGCAATATCAATGCATTACTTATTATAAAAAGTAATTATAACGAAAAAAATTAATATTAAAGTTATCAATCACTGTAACGATTCACAGTCGAAGACTAAATACAAGGCCAATAAATTGTAACTAGCCTACTGGCCTTTGAGTGTTTGGTTTGTTTACTAGATCACAAGTTTCAGAGAGTTTTCTTCTGTAAATGTTTCAGGCACTGATTTTCAATACTCGAATCTTA